TAGATACCGTGGAGGGCAAGGTCTTTCTCTCTCAGGACAGGCTAAACAGTATCCAGTCTTTGGCCAGAGAGATCAGAGCCTTAAAGAGGGTTTCCCTGGCAGTGCTGTCTCAACTGTTAAGGAAACTGATTTCTTGTATTTCCATTGTGCCTTGGGCTCGATTCCATTCTAGAGAGCTGCAATGGTTCCTGCTACCTTTCCAGCGATCCGGAAAAGCCACTTCAAACGTCCGGATAAAGGTACCGCACAATGTTCTCCGATCGTTCTGCTGGTGGTCGGAAAAAAACGATAAACAAGGGGTGTCCTTTCAAGGAACCTTACAGGGCAATGATCACAACCGATGCCAGCCTGGTAGGATGGGGAGCTCACTTCCAAGCCCACAGTGCACAGGGAATTTGGACTATTTCCAAACAATCACAAAGCATCAACCTGTTGGAGCTGCAAGCAGTTCACCTGGCCTTACGCAGTTTTCTACCCCTTTTCCAATCACGCCACGTTCTGGTCTTGACAGACAATATCACAACCAAGGCCCACGTAAACAGACAGGGGGGTACCCATTCCAAACTTCTGATGCTGGAAACGGCCAAGTTGTACAAGTGGGCCGAGGCCAATCTGTTTTTGCTCAAGGCAGAACACATAGCAGGGGCCTTAAACACACAAGCGGACTGGCTCAGCAGGGCCACGATAGATCAGGCAGAGTGGCACCTACACCCGTCTGTCTTCCAGGAAGCAGTGCGGAGGTTTGGGCAACCGGTGATCGATCTATTTGCTTCTCCTCTCAATGCCCAATTGCCCCGGTATATTTCAAGGTACCCAACTCAGGGGGCGGAGGCCGTCAATGCCCTATGATGTCAGTGGCCTCCCGAACTTCTATATGCGTTTCCTCCACTCCCAGTAATACCCAGGGTGATCCAGAAGTTATTGGAGGAACGAGCGGAATTGATATTGGTCGCCCCTTACTGGCCCAGGCGAACGTGGTTCGCAGATTTACAGGACCTGTCGAGAGAACAACCTTGGAAAATTCCACTGTTGAAGGTTTCCCTCTCCCAAGGGCCGGTACTTCACCCGGACCCACAATGGCTCAGTCTAGCCGTATGGAGGTTGAGCGGAGCCGTTTAAGGGCCCAACAGATTTCAGAGGATGCTATTGCCACCATTCAAGCATCCAGAAGGTCCTCAACAAATCGTATATACAAGGCCACGTGGTCCGCCTTCTGTCACTGGTGCCGGGGGTCTAAGATCGACCCAACTGCCCCATCAATAGGACAATTATTGGACTTTTTACAGGAGGGGTTGGCCAAGGGCCTATCTCAAATACTTTACGCAGACAGGTGGCGGCTTTAGCCTCGTTGATAGCCTGGGGTGACCTCCGTTCCATAGCACACCATCCACATGTCCGCAGCTTTTTTAAGGGTGCTGCAAACTTACGACCTCCTGTAATTCACCGCTATCCCACCTGGCACCTCAACAAGGTGTTAACCGCACTTACAACTGGCCCGTTCGAGCCTTTAAGAACCACTAGTCTTAAATTCCTGACATATAAGGTGGCCTTCCTAATTGCCATCACATCAGCTAGGAGAATTTCCGAATTGGCATTGTCAATGAGAAAAGGACCTGTGTGTGTTTCATGCGGACAGAGTGATTCTCCGATTGGATCCATCGTTCACTCCTAAAGTAAATTCAGCCTTCCACAGAGTGCAGGAGTTGGTCCTTCCAAATTTTTGTCCGAAACCATCTCATAGACTGGAGCATCAATGGCATCGACTTGACGTTCGAAGGGCCTTAAGCATCTATCTAGGCCGCACGGCGGCATTTCGAAAATCTGAGGCTCTATTCCTATCCTTCAATCCATCCACTTTAGGGCAAAAGGTGTCGTCGACCATCGGTAGATGGTTGAGAGCCACCATAGCTAAAAGTTACGAATGCCAGTCCATCTCAGTTCCTCAAGGCATTACAGCCCACTCAACAAGGAATGCGGCAACATCAGCAGCATGGGCCACACGGGCTCCCATAGATGAAATTTGCAGAGCGGCAACTTGGGCTTCACCATCTCCCTTTGTCAGAAATTATAAAATTGATGTCTATGCCTCAGCAGACGCTTCATTTGGCAGAAGAGTCCTGCAGAGGGTCCACAGAGTTTAGGAGTGGATTTCGATCCAGACGGAGTCCCTCCCTAAGGACAGGCCAAGCTTTGGTATATCCCACTTCTGGATGCTCTGAACAGCTCATGGGAGAAAGGGCGTTGGTACTTACCTGATACGCCCGTTCTCTGTGAGCTGTGAAGAGCATCCAGCCCCACCCATTTCTTTCCATCTGGTGGGGTTCTGTTCCAGTCAGGGATCTAGATTAGGTGATGAGTCCCGGATTTTGGCACTCAAGTCTTCGCAAAACTGGGGGACGCTGAGGAGTTGTCCCGTGGAGGAGGAGGAGCATCCCGGAGTTTTAAGCCCAGCCTTTCCAGAAGAGACTGAAGCACCTCCCACTTCTGGATGCTCTTCACAGCTCACAGAGAACGGGCCTATCAGGTAAGTACCAACGCCCTTTTTCTTTTGTCTTTGGCATTAACCTGTCAGCCAAGGGGGTGTGTTTTCCTCACAAATGGATTGATTTTGTTTGTGTGTGAATGTTAGGTATGAAAAAAAATCCTGCAGAAGTTTTGCTTTATAAGTGTGCAGAAGGTGTGCCTAACATTTTGAAGCAAAACACAAAAGTGATAGTGGAGGTTCATAAGAAATAGTCAACTTCATATTGATGCTAAACATCTTTGGTAAAAATAACTGTAGGCATAACCACATGGCAGCCAATTCAAAGCATGGCAGAGAATGGAGGCTGGGATGAAATAGCAAAACAATGGAAAGGAAATCTGAAATTTTTTAGGGATGAACTGGATGGAACTGTAGGTGGCAGTCGCAGAAGGTATCCAGCAACAGCCCAAATGCAACCCTTCTGCTGTGCAATTGTTGCTGATGCTAGCATAAGTAGGCTTTGGAACTGGGGTTAATAAAAGTTTGTCATGAGGATGTGCTGAAAATGGGGCAAAATATTTGGTCGTGTTCAGGAATGCTATTTTTGAGGAACACCTAAGAGGTCAAGATATTGATTTCTGCATTGATTATCAATTTCAGTATGTGAATAAGGTGGTCATAGTTATCTGTAGCAGAAATAGACCACCTGTTCTAAAAGACTGCAATGGCATAGCCTGCTCCCTTATACCCAGCATCCTTAGAATCTGAGATCCCAAACAATTAGGCAAGTCAGGTTAATTACTTTTATCCACACCCATGACTATGAAGTACACTAGTAACGATACATCCTTTTTTACCAATTCATTAAACAAGCATTCCTGTTGAGCAAATCTATTCAGAGAATCATAGATTTGGAACAAACGTAAGAGATTACATCTATCCTCTGTTCAGTGCAGGAATCCAAATTAAAGCATTCTTGAGAGATTCTTATCAGGCCTCTGCTTCAACTATGTAATGATGGAAGAAAATTTACCATGTGACTAAAGTTTTGGTTTTGCAGTTAAACTTCTCTTCCATTTAGTGAGAATCTGCTATCCGATGTTCCAAAATTATTGATTTGTGAATAAACATTCTGGGGTGAAACAGCTCAAGGCTTTGAAGTTTTTAAAGACGAAAAGATGAGGTTCTTTCCAATAGTCATTTCTCAAGGCTAAACCTACCCACTACCCTCTTTCCTCCTTGGTTTAATTTTCAATTTCCTGACTTGAATTGTCTTTAAAAGACATTGCCAAGAACTACACAGGTAGTCCTTAACTTATGACCATAATTGAGCCTGGAATTATCATTGTTAGTCATGACAGTTTTTACACCAGTCAGCATATGGCCAACAGCCAATTTTACAACCTGTTTTTGGGGCAGTCATTAAGGTAACATTGCAGTTGTTAAATGAACCCTTTTCCCCCCAAAGGAGGGTTGTTGTTTTTTTGCCATAAACTGGAAGTAAATGACAGAAACTAGCTAAAACAGCAAAAACTACAATCTTGTGTCTAAAGCCACTGCAAACTTAGGGCCCAAAATGCAAATCTAAAATGCTAGGTGCCCAAAAGGCAATCATGTGAAATAGGGTATGTACAGATGTGAGAACTTCAAAATTGGGTTCAATACTTCAACACCTCAATAGCTCTGGGGAGGTCCATCATAACTTTGAACAGTTGTGAAGCAATGATCAGGAAGTGAGGACTACATGTATGTAGAATTCATGGTAGAATTTAACAAATGCAGGCCAGAGAGGCATTATTTTCTGTAAAAACTGAAATTTTTTGACCCTTTGCCATTTGTATTCTTTGTGGCCATACAGTTTTGGCTCATATATAGCTTTCAAGCAACATACCAAGACTTATTCCAAGTCTTTTGTTTCAGTGTATCTGTGGCCAGCAATAAAATATTAATAAATCTTCACATTTGTGGAAAAATGAAAATAATGATGTACTAGCGTTGTTAAAGATATACAAAATATTTCAAGTAAAACAAGTAATTAAATGGGTCCTATCATCACAGAGATGGTATTATGAATCCGTTTCATTATAATTCCCTCAATCTAGTAAGGTTTGTAAGAATATAATGCAAATGCCATTTATGAGTGTCATTTATGAATTAATTGTTCAGTTCTTGATGACTTGATGATTTTACACATTTACACATTGAAACACATTGAACAGTATCAAGCTATCAAATCCAGATTTTTTCCTGACTTTCACGATAGCCAATTTTATTTGATATATAGTTTCCTATAATATTTACAAAGTTCTTTTGACTTAAATTGCTCTGATTCATTGTCCTTCACTCTTATTCTTGATTAGTAAGATATTTAGTGTATAGTTTAGAAATAAGCATATTTAGAAGCAGATGATTTAAATATTCATTCCAAAATGAATATTTGAAGCAAAGAAAAACTGAAATCATTGTCTAGGTAGGTTGGGAATTGATTGATCACATGTGGAAATTTTTCATATGTTAGTGTAAGAAGTGAAAAAGAGGAAAGCAGTGCTGCCTGCATGGAAATGCCAAAATTTATCAGCATATTTTAAACTTTAAAAATAATTCTTACTCTGTTTTAATTGTTTACATACTGTAATTTGTGTCTTATAACCTTTCAGTTTTTCTCTGTATGGCTTGATTTCCTCAGAAATATATTAAAAGCTTAAACCTCTTTTTCAAACCTTATGATTCTCAGTGTACTGGTCATGCTTTAAAAATTAATCTCACACATACAGAAACCAGCAACTAACTTTTGGTAAGTGCAAATAAATTTTTCCTTTAGGTTGTGGTCCCAGGGCAATTAGCAGTCTTTTGGACAAGAAAATAATTAGCAACTTATCTTGAGGTGCTGTTATGGTGGTTGGGTGGGGCCAAGCTAACCTTTCCTTTAGCATAAGGTTTTTGCAGCAAGACATAAGTTAATTGGCAGGCACCAAAACATATTAATTTAGGCCTTTTGTTATTTTACAAACCAAGGCAGCCATTGCTGTTTTGGTTTCTTGCCTAGTTTTTACCTCCTCTGACTTAAACTGCTGGAGCTAAGCAAATGTGACTGACTGTGTATGGTTATATTTATTTCTTTGAGATAGTCTGTTAGAATGCAAGCGTTCACGAACTTAACAGTATTCAGAGCTTGCTGATTGTCTGAAACATGCCATATAATTAATAATCCAGGTACAATGCAACGCTTGATTGAAAGAGCTTTTGTAGTGACAATATTAATCTGTAAGGGCTATGCTACAAATAATATCGTTAAATGTATTATATGTGTACATATTGCAGTACTTCGCATGAAAATCAGAATTAGCATTCTTCTTGTGTGTATTGTAGAATGGAATAACATTTATTCATGTATTCCCATTTTATAAATCAATTTATTTTATTTATTTACTGAATGTCAAACAATTGAAACAGGAAATGACCTGAGATCTAGTTGCCATGACACCCTTCAGTCCTATCTAATTTTCAGGAAGATGAAAGGATCTAACTTTCTTTTGATAGTGAGCAACTAATTGGATGGTTGAAAGTGGGAGAGATTTAATGCAGGAAAAAAAAAAAACAGGAAAAAAGTGAAACAGCTGTGTTTTTGTGTACACCTATAATCCTCCAATACAACATTCCAAGGCCAAATGACCTCCATGTACCTAAAACACACAGATTCTAATGCCCCCGAAAAGACATGGTTAGTGTTTTCTAACGCATATTTGCAATGAGAATCACATCCCCATCTATGCAATACTTTTATGGGATTTTTTTTTCCTTGTCCAAATTTTTTTTATAAGCAAGATAAGTAACACTGAAATTAATCTGAAAATCCGAGTTATTTCTGAGTAGTACAGCAGGGATAGTGAAGTTCCATTTTTATTAGGATTAAATGGTGTATTCTATTAAAAGCAATGGAAGTGTTCATGACCAAAGTCAGGTTCAATATATTTAAATGTTTTTATGTAAGTAGGTGTAGATGTAAACTGTATATTAGAGGCTACAATTCTGCTTACCCATAGTATGTAGTTATATTGGTGTTGAATACTATTATTTGTAGTGTTCTTATTTTTCAATGAAGGATTGTACTCAATATTTAGAAAGCATGCTCAGAAGAGATTTCAAAAGAGCTATATTTGGGCAAATAGTTCTCCTGGATGTCTCTTTGGATCCTTGAATTATTGTATATAACATCTCTTATCAAATCACTTTATTTTCATCATTGACCAGCTCGGTCACTTCATAAATGTCAGCTTTGGTGCAGCCATTTTGATAAAATGGATGCTCTTTAAGTTTCACATTACAATTAGAAGGAAGTTTGCAATTGTTTACCCATCTGGTATAGCTATTCATTGAAAGCCCAAACTGACTAACTATTGTGTACCCATCTGGTCTAACTTCTGTCCCTTTTGTCCACCTGGTATAATGCTATAACAAGTTGCTACTTAAATTTTACAGAGATGAGAAAATTTTCAATAATCTTCTTGCCTTACTATTGTAGACGCATTTAACTAAAAGGCAGATTGCTCAGAATTTTATATGATCCTTTAAAAAATCTATATAATCTGTCAAAACTCATACAATATTATGGGCTATGATGCAAGGTTACCATTCCGAATTTGAAACTATCCTTGAAGTTTCTCCTCCCAATTAATATATACTTGTGAAACATTTGCATATATACTAATGCACATGTATGTAAAAGTACCCAGATGTCAAACTTCAAAGTTCAAACTTTGTTTGCAGGGGCAAACAGAGATTAAATTGCTATAAACTGAATTAATTATGAGTAAAATGAATTACTCCACTTACGATAATTATGTATCTGCCAACAGCTTTTACATTGAAATATATGTACATATCATACATATCCTCAAATATATGAATATTCATATCCCTCTGCCCTTCCAGTGAAGAAGAAGAAAAAAAGAGGGTAATGGAAGAGGGGAAAGAAAGACAAAACTAAGCTGGAATAAAATGGGATATGTTGAGAGGAACAGGTAGTGTGACAGAGACTATAAGATAATATAACACAATTCACACAAAATTCAATACATAGGTTTTTTTGTTGGGCTCAAGCATATATACTGTTTTGACTGACCTATGAATGCTTGTTTGTTAGTAAACTCCATTGTATTCAAAGTCTCTTAATCTCAGGTGGGTATGCTTAAGGCTTCTAGTCCTCTGTCATCATTGTGAAATTTGATAGCAATATTATGTTGCAGGGATGAAAAGCTACACACTGTCAACTTCCTTTTTATGGTCTGCAGAATGGATGGGATCAAAACTCCAGGGCCTCCCCCTTTTTTGCATTAAAACTCCAGAAGATCCCTTAGAGAACAGATTCACCCTTATGTACTTTTCAAAGCTTGTTGTGGCCTCTGAATTGAGGGAACTTGCTCAATCCTGTTCTATTTCTATTCAACGGAAAATGAGAGAACTTCTTTTAGTGCCCTCTCCCAATTCCAATATATAAAAGAACCATCAATGCTAAAAAATGCCATAATCTGAATAGAAACAGATCTGTATGTTTAAGTATAATGCCATAGGTATTTCCTCATCTCCCAGGATTTTAATGCATATATTTTAAACCAGGGGTCTCCAACCTTTGCAACTTTAAGCCTTGTGGACTTCAACTCCCAGAGTTCCTCAGCCAGCTTTGCGGGCTGAGGAACTTTGGGAGTTGAAGTCCACAAGGCTTAAAGTTGCCAAGGTTGGAGACCCCTGGTTTAAACTACACATCATAGAATCAGTAGAGAAATGCAAAATCAAATAGCAAGAGCAACTACCTCTGACGAACAAGTGAAATGTATTGTGTGTTATTGTTATGATGAAAAAAGGTAGCAAAAATCAATTGTATTCCTGTGGGATTTCTGTTTAACGTGGACAGTATATGTTTTATTATCAGGTTCAGTGCTTAGTAGCATCAGGAAAGATTTTAAAGAACTTAGACCAATGTTCATTTTGCAATACTTTTTGTAGTTAAGCAACCCATTGCAGTGATATTTTCTTCTTTGGTTCTGTGTTCACCTGGTGTACAATTTATATACTGACACCCAAATACCCAAAGCAAAGTATGCCTTGTTCTCATCCTAGTTCCATTCATTAGAAAGCTTTGAACCCATCCCATTTAATCATGGACTTAAGGGGTGAATGGTTCTTAATGACAAAATTAATATATAAACAAAAACTTGCAACCTGGCAGCATGGGAATATTGGGCGTCTGAGACCAGGAACATAAATCACAGAAACCTCTTCAGTTTTTCAGACTACCTATATGATAGCTATGAGTAGATTGATAGTAAGTAAGCATGTAGGAATTATCTCCAGATGTTCTACATACACTTTTAAGATTTCAAACTTTATCTCCCACAAGTTTCATTTGATTCTGAAAGGTAAAGCTAGTTCTCTAAGGAATTTGAAAAAAGTATTTTACTTTCAGTTGAAATAATAAAAATGGATAGGCAGTTCTGGAGTAGGATGAAAAGACTGGTAGACTTTCTAGGTAAAAGACTTGAAAACCATTTCACTGTAAGCAAGTTTGAGGAGACATCTCAGTGAAAGAGAAAAAAATCTTCCACATTTGTTCTTTTTCATGGAATTATATTATCCAAATTATTTTATTTTTAATCTGAAAAATATTTCTAGCATGTAAAATGTTAAAAAAAACAATGGCAGATGGGTATTCATTTTGGTTTTTAAGATAATGAATTCAAGAAGGAAAAGGGAATGTACAAGGTTTAAAGTCATTCTTTGTTATTTTAAACCTCATATAACAGAATAATATAATATCTGTCATCCACTCTACAACAGTAATCCTTGCTGAAGTTCCAGATTATAAAAATGCAGATTTGACAGAGATGTGAGTCCATCTATTTTCTGTCTTAATCTACTACCTTATCCCTTTGACTGAGTGTAGAAAAATGAGTGTAATGGCACCTTATGAAACATTTGCAGATATTTATTTAAATTTATGATAATATTCAGAAGGTTGCACACTTTATCAGTCAAATTTCTCCTTAGTTGTATCTACGAAAAATAACACCCCTCAGGATGGAACTTCTCATATTTTAGTACTGTTTTTAATGCTGTCTGGCTCTACAAGCGTTGGAGCAGCCAACAATTGTAGTATAGAACATTGTACATTTTCAGCCTTGGTTTATCTGAACTAATTGCTGTAATTGCACAATGTTCTCACCTGGGTATTAACTTTGCTTAATTTTTTTCTATCTTATGTTGAGTGAACCAAGCCCATTTAGTTATTTTGTGGTTCAGCGTATTCTGCCAAACTGGAAGATTACTTAACTCAGTAACCAGAGTTAAGTGTATCTTGTGATTGGGGTCCTTATCTTAGATGCCCACCCTTCATTTGCATAGAATCAGAAGGTAAGCTTATCTTAATCTTTTATGAATGAGCAGGTGCTGGTGCATACAACTGCTTCTTTCCACCCACAGGTGGCTAAACTGCAAGTCCCAGCAAATGGTTGTGCATGTAACTTCACAAGCAGCTACCCTGGGAAAATCTTTGAATCTGTGTCATCAAACTTTCTACTAGATATATGGTTTTCTTAATACTTTAAGGAAGCATGCTTTGCTTACACCAGTTATGTAATCATATTAGGGACCTATGGGCATGCGATTTGATCTGTTGCTTTAATATTTATATTTAGTTATTTAGTTTATATTTAGTTAATATTTATATTTAGTTATTTAGTGGTGGAGATGGGTAGTTTCTAAATTTGTTAAATACATAAGATTTCCTAACTTAAAAAACTTTTTGTTATATGTTCTATGGATCTCAGAACAATCTAATTAATTCTCAGCTGCTTGCATTTTTAGTGATGGGGACCGTGTTTCTCTTAGGAGGATGTAAATCAATTATCTTAGGCAGTTTAATTTTATTTCCCTCAGTGTTTTTTTAAAGCTAAAAGTAATTATTAATACCAATAATCATTTTCTGCAGTTTATCTACCATCCTGAGAAAAGACACTTTCAGGTTAGATAGAGTTGAACACTTCTATCAGGTACAAGTATAGAATTTGTGTAACAATAATTTTAAGAGATGCTTTCAGCTCTGAAAGCATTTGTGTGTTTTGTGGATGTGTGCTTATATATACGGTTCTCTTCCATGTGTTGTGGCATCTGCTAGGATTTCATGTTGATTCATATTGGCAAAAGCAAAAAATAATTTAGGATGACAAATCACATTTTCTATCCTTTCTCTCTTCCTTTGAAACAGGCTGTGCTTTGGGTATTTTCCCCTGTTTTGTATTAAAAGAAAGAGCATGAAAATAGATAGGATAATATTCTTATTTTGGAATAACTCATCTAGTTACTCAGTTATTGAAACCATTGGGCCAAACTAGTGCTTTCAGAATAATAGCAGGCTGAAAAACCAATGTAAAACAGGACAACACAGCAATATCATTTTCATAATTGCATAATTTATCATGTGAAGGAAAACAGCGCTAAAAGGTTTTGCTCATACTTCAAAGATAAAAATGAAGTTCTCCATTCTTTGTCTACATGAAATGCTTTTGAAGTATCAATCGCCTTCTTCACTTTTGCAGCATGACTAAAGAGCCATTGTGTTGTGAACTCATGAAAACTGTGTATAAACACTCCGAAGATTATCCAGAGCTGCTTGATAGTGAGATGGATGTCAAATAAATTTAATAAATAAACAAATAAGATGTTTTGTTAACAAACTCAATGGATGGCTACTGCATTATTAATTACAGTTTTCAGATTGCCTGGACTTTTGGCATTAACCTTGGTCACTTTAGCTGAATATTGGGCTTCTGTGAAATTATGAAGAGCCTGGTTTTATTTATTGTGAGGTTAATGATTCTGTAATTCATAGTACATGCAGAATATTCTTAACTGCTTAGTAAGGTTTTCTGTGACTTATTTCTATTAGATGGTACATTTATAGCTAATTGTACTTAACATGATATATCAAAGACTGTAAATCAGGAATAAGAATGCACAGGCTTTCTAATTCTGAACAAATTAATTTTGTTTATTGTTCAGTTATTGATCAGATTAGAGATGGAAAATACATTTGACTGAGATGATCAAATAAAGTCAAATAAATTAGGATGTACATAAGTCCACTGTTTTGCTTGCAAGCTCTTTCCCTGCTGCTTTATCCCTCCTTTTGTGTATGAATGAAACAAAATAGCAGACCACAGTTAAACACGTATCTTATACGTACCTGAAACTGTGATTAATATCTTGCTGGAGATAAGATTTATATGCCAGTTTTTAAAAAGTAAGAAGTTGACTTTTGAATCTGGATTGTTTAGAAGTTAGTGCCTTCATCTGAATTGTACTAAAATGGGGTTTGTTTTAAGGGTTCTTATTTTAATCCTGGATTAGAGAGCATGTTTCTGTGCACAGAATATTAAGCCAGGATGCCTGGATTTATATATTTCATTGTTTATTTAAAAATTGTATTAGGCTGGCCACCTGAACCTAATAAGCTGAGCAGCTAACAAAAAGAAAGCATTAAAAAACAAATGATATAGAAAATGTAATAAATTGCATTGATGCTGGAGCTCCAAATGATATACTCCTGCAATATATCACATACTTTGCATACCAGGCTCCACTAACAGCTTGCTTTCCAGTGTCTGACGAAAAAGTCAGGTTTTCATATATGCTAAGCTAGAGTAGTCCATGTTGCATTATTGATAATTCTCAATTTACGACTATTAATTTAACAACTCTTCAAAGTTACCACAGTGCTAAACACAGTGCTCACACTTCTGACTGTTACAGCGTTTGAGTGTTTGGCAACCATCACATGTTTACAATAGTCACAGCATCCCATGGTCACATAATCACCATTTGCGACTGTCCCAGCCAGCTTCTGACAAGCAAAGTCAATGGGAAGCTGGTAGGGAAGATTGCAAGTTGCAATCATGTGAGGTTTCAGTTAATGATCATAGTGATGCGCATAACATTTGCAGCAAAAAAGATTGCAAAATTGGGTCCAATTATGTGATTCCTAACTTAATGACCATATTGCTTAAAGATGAATTTCAGCTCCTTATTGTAGTTAAACCGTAAATCAGGGGTGTCAAAGTCGTGTCGTCACATCATCATGTGACGTATTGTGACTTTCCCCCCTTCTCTAAACCGGGAGAAGGTGGGCTAGCGCGTGACGTATCTGGCCCGTGGGCCATGAGTTTGACAACGCTGCTGTAAATCAAGGACTACCTGTAATGAATCATATCAGCAGTTTCTAGTTAACATGGCTTCTGGTTTTGCATGTATTAGAAGATGATGGAGCCTCCTCAAAGAACCTTTGCATGAGTGCACAAGTGGTCCTGGTTTAACAACCACTCATTTAGCAATTACTTGAATTTACGATGGTGTTTTTTTAGATTAAACCAAACTCATCCTTGACTATATTTTTGCTGTTCTTGAGGCCAGGTTAAATGCAGATTGGGATCTTGAAGGTGGAGTGTTCTCACCAAACTACATGATTCACCAATCTCACCATTATTTCTCCTTCAGAGAAATGCCAGTGTACACATATACATACTTTGTATATATACATATGTACGTGCTATGTTTAAGGCTTAATTTTATTGGAATGGCAAATTTAGGCAAAAAATCAGGCTATTCTCCTTGCTCCCTATTGGCCCTGACATCCCTGGTTTGTGGACCTGGTGAACCTATCAGTGGCTCAACCCTGGCGGATTCCTAAGGAAGATATCTCTCTCCTCCAGGCGACCCTGATTCATCCAGAGCCCCAGTGGCTACAACTGACAGCTTGGCACTTGAGTAGAGCACTTTAAAACACGACAAGTTACCAAGCAAGGTAATACAGACTATTCAGGCTTCCAGGAGATCTTCCACTATTCACATCTATGACGCTACATGGCAAGCTTTTTGCCTTTGGTATTCCAAGTCAAAAGTCACACCTATAGAGGCGTCTATAGCACAGATTCTGAATTTCTTGCAGGCAGGGCTAGATAGGGGACTATCCCCTAATACGCGTTGACAGCAGGTGGCGGCCCTGTCATCAGTGCTGACATGTGGAAGGTTAGAATTGCTGGCACATCACCTGACCATTCTCAGGTTCCTCAGAGGTACTTCTTTCTACAACCACCAGTGGTTCACAAGTATCCCACCTGGGACCTGTCAAAAGTATTACAGTCCCTGTCTAAAGCGCCATTCGAGCCTCTCAGATTGACAAGTTTACATCTTATGACTGTTAAGGTGGCCTTGGTTGCTATCACATCGGCCAGAAGAATATCAGAGTTAGAGGTTCTCTTGGTGCATCTAGACTTATGTATTTTTCACCTACACAGTGTTTTTGAGGTTGGATCTGGCCTTCATTCCAAAGGTCAACATATGGTTCCCACAGGGTGCAAGAGTGAGTTCTTCCATATTTCTACCCCAACCTGGCTCACGCCTTGGAGAAATCTTGGCAGACGTGGTACGTAGAGCCTTGAAGATCTACATAAAAGGGACCTCTGACTTTTGCAAAATGGAGTCCCTTTTTGTTTCTCTTCAAACTGCCTTGTTGGGTTGTATGGTAACTCCCTCTACAGTCAGCAATGGATCAAGTTGTGTATTTCCAGGGTGTACATGAGTCACTCCCTACCAGTACCAAGGGGAGTCACGGCCCATTCTACATATAGCACTGCTATACAGTTGCTTGGGCTACACAAGCTTCGATTGAGGAGGTCTGCAAGGCAGCCACTTGGACTTCTCTGTTTATCCGGAATTATCACTTGGATGCCTTTGCATCAGAGTTTGGCAGACGGGTTCTGCAGAGAGTCCACACGGAGCATGGGGATCAGGACCAGACTTGAGCCCTCCCACAGACACTCCAGCTTTAGTATGTCCCTTGCCTGGATTCTCATAACAATACAAGGGAGAAAGGGTGTTAGTCTTACCTGATACGACTATTCTCCTTGTTGGTTAGAGATTCCCTGAGTGGTCTGGTCTGGCCTATGCCGAAGTGGGGGAGCTGATTATCTTGTTCTTTTTCGTTTCAGAGGCACGTCCTGTCTGTCATGTTGTCTTCGGGAAAGCTGGGGAAGGCCCAGCAACAGAGGTGGAGCTAAACAGCTTTGACACACTCAGTCCAATTGGCTAGGAGACGGAGTTAACCCTTGCCTGGACTGTAACCAACAAGGAGAATAGGTGTATCAGATAAGACCAACGGCCCTTTTCCTGCCATTAGGGTTCATTCCTTCTTTCTGAAACAAGAACAAGAACCAAAGAGGTTTCCTCGTACAAACTAAGTTAAATTAACTTTGTCTACCGTGTTTTAAAATACGCTTAGTATTGCACAGTATTATTTTCATGTCACCAAGAGGGACTAGTAGTGTCAAGCATTGTTCTTAAAAATATGTGTGTGTGTGTGTGTGTGTGTGTGTGTGTGTGTGTGTGTGTTTTGAATAAGCATAAGATAGATAACAGTAATTTAATATTTGGGTAGTAATGAAACATTTTTATCAGAGAAGCTCAGAACTCTTTGTTGTTGTTTTTTTTAAAAAAATACAGTGCTTTGAAGCTAATGGAACTTCAGCATTATTATTTGTTCATCTTTGTGTGTCGCAATGATTGCCTTTATCCTTTGTAGCTTAAGGGCCATAGCTGTCTGTAATAAACCACATTGGCATCAAACAAACATGGCCTGTATCAAAATGCATTGCATATACATTGCAGTAATATAACTGCATCTTAATACTTCATGTGTTACTGTTTTTTTGAAGGGTTAGAAGGGTGTATAATTAAACTATGAAACAAGAAATATACTTTGCTCCCATATGTGAGTATTTTTGTCAGTTCCTAATCTCTTGTTAAGCTTTACCTTTGTATGTTAGGATTTGGTGCTGATGTATGTACAGCTCTAGACTGTACAGTCAAGGATTGCTAAATCTGTATAGCCAAATTGCATGCAACTTTGACCAATCTTAGCAAGGAGTCACTCAAAAATCTTTCTAAACTATTTGTATTCTGTCTTAAAAGTCCAAGGATAAACTCCATAACATGGCTTAGTTTATTTGCTGATGCTTCCTGCAAAATACTTCAGCAACTGAAGCAACCAGATGTTTTATTCTACTGATGCAGATGTGCTAATGACTCCCTCCTTTTCTATGCATGCACATATTGAAGAATATGAATTGCTAGTAAGGGCTTATTTGTGACCGTATTTTCCACACATTAAAATCGTGAGCTCATATGTAAATTATTTCTATGTATTCCTAAAGTGTCAGGCTTATAAAACTGCAGATTGTAAGCAGCTAACTTTCCTCCCTCACTTTTACAAATAGCAGCAACAAATTGTGAAATGTTCTGGCTGTTTCTTAAATGGCTTAGGGCTGCTTGTTTCATAATCTGTCTTAGGCAAATGATGGGAAACAATATGAATCTAACTAAAACCAGAGTATCAACCTGTCTTGATTAGCATCTCCTTTTTTTATTCTGGATGTTTGCTTAAAAAGTATCTCCAATTTTGTGCCTTCCTGGAGATATTAGATTAGGAAAAGACCACCTAATTTCATACCTTGATAGCCTTTTTCTTGACTTGTATTCATTTGTTTAAAATTTCTTTCATCTTCTTCTGGTCCTCTTTTGAATTGTTTACATTTGGAGCAGATAGTACAGCAGGTTTCCTGTTGATTTGAAAGTGCAAAGGAAGTGCAGAATTAGCAAAATTAAAATAAAAGTGTTAGGGTACAAATGAAATGTGTCGTCATTTTTTTTAAAATTCTAAAACTGTTTTCTCATCAGTTGCTGAAATTTTCATATTGACACAGAAACATTTACAAACTGTTTATTGATATGTACAGTTGTGCTCATAAGTTTACATACCCTGGCAGAATTTATGATTTCTTGGGCATTTTTCAGAGAATATGAATAATACAAAAACTTTTCTTTCACTCATGGTTAGTGCATGGCTGAAGCCATTTATTATCAATCAACTGTGTTTACTCTTTTTAAATCATAATGACAACAGAAACTATCCAAATGACCCTGATCAAAAGTTTACATACCCTGGTGATTTTGGCCTCATAACATGCATACAGGTTGGCACAAAGGGGTTTGAATGGCTGGTAAAGATAACCATCCTCACCTGTGATCTGTTTGCTTGTAATTAGTGTGTGTGTATAAAAGGCCAATGAGTTCCTGGACTCCTGACAGACCCTTGCATCTCTCATCCAGTGCTGCACTGACGTTTCTGGCTTCTGAGTCATGGGGAAAGCAAAAGAATTGTCAAAGGATCTGTGGGAAAAGGTAGTTGAACTGTATAAAACAGGAAAGGGGTATAAAAAGATATCCAAGGAATTGAGAATGCCAATCAGCAGTGTTCAAACACTAATCAAGAAGTGGAAAATGAGGGGTCCTGTTGAAACCAAACCATGGTCAGGTAGACCAACTAAAATTTCAGCCACAACTGCCAGGAAAATTGTTCGGGGTGCAAAGAAAAACCCACAAATAAGTTCAGGTGAAACACAGGAGTCTCTGAAAACATGTGGTGTGGCTGTTTCAAGATGCACAATAAGGAGGCACTGGAAGAAAGAAAGGCTGCATGGTCAAGTCACCAGAAGAAAGAGCCATTACTACACAAATGCCACAAAGTATCCCGCTTACAATACGCCAAACAGCACAGAGACAAGCCTCAAACCTTTGGGCACAAAGTCATTTGGAGTGATGAGACCAAAATTGAGCTTTTTGGCCACAACCATAAACGCTACATTTGGAGAGGAGTCAAAAAGGCCTATGATGAAAAGTACACCATTCCTAATGCGAAACACGGAGGTGGATTGCTCATGTTTTCAGGGTGTGTGAGCTACAAAGGCACAGGAAATTTGGTCAGAATTGATGGCAAGATGAATGCAGTATGTTATCAAAAGATACTGGAGGAAAATTTGCATTCATCAGCCCAGAAGCTGCGCATGGGACATACTTGGACATTCCAACATGACAATGATCCTTAATACAAGGCCAAGTCGACATGTCATTGGCTACAGCAGAATAAAGTGAAGGTTCTGGAGTGGCCATCTCAGTCTCCTGACCTCAATATCATTGAGCCACTCTGGGGAGATCTCAAGCATGCAGTTCATGCAAGACAGCCCAAGAATTTACATGAACTGGAGGCTTTTTGCCAGGAAGAATGGGCAGCTTTACCATCTGAGAAGATAAAGAGCCTCATCCACACATGCTACAAAAGACTTCAAGTTATCATTCATTGATGTTAAAGGGGGCAATACACCGTATTAAGAACTGGGGTATGTAAACTTTTGATCAGGGTCATTTGGGGGGGGGGGTTCCTGTTGTCATTATGATTTAAAAAGAGTAAACACAGTTGATCGATAATGAACCAACCACTAACCATGAGTGAAATAAAAGTTTTTGTGTTATCATTCATATTCTCTGAAAAATGGCCAAGAAATCATAAATTCTGCTAGGGTATGTAAACTTACGAGCACAACTGTATATAACAGCTACATATGATATACTGTGTATGTGTGTGAGAGAGAGAGGGAGAGGGAGAGGTAGTTGACTTTTTCTAAAGCTACATTTCAGAAATTTTCTCCTTTTTTAAGAGAGACTTACAATTTAACTAAGGAAGAGAAGGATGGTGAGAGAAGATGGTGGGCATTTAATCTACAGAACCACTTCAAATAGGATGTTAAGAATGCCTTTAAGTGTATTGATAATAGATTTTTTTAAAAAGGAGGGGGGGAAGTATAGGGATTTGAAGAATTCCTGTGCCTGAATAAAAAAGGAGATGCTAATCAAGACAAGTTGACTTTCTGGTTTTAGTTATATTCACATTGTTTCCCATCATTTTCCTAAGACCAGTTTAGGAACCAAGCAACCCTAAGTCATTTAACAGAACGGGTGGGATTTGGGGAAAAGTGACTTGCAGCTTGCCTTTAGAAACATAAGTTACATTCCTTTTTTTGCATTTCATCTCCATTGCAATTAGCTTTGTAGTCAGGACAGTTAGATTTTATGGTGTCATTCCTGTTTTAGAAGTTGTTAAAAGGAGAGCCCTGCTGATCTGTAAAATGAGCCTTAGTTTGAGAGTGTGGCTGACATTTTAGCATTCCAATTTCAAAAACCTTATGAGTTATAAATATTTTATGTGCAGTGAACCATCCTTAAAAATTAAATATGAATGAGTATAACTAAACCTTGCTGCACACTGAACACACTGAAGTTTCAGAATTTGAGCAAATGTGTGCTAGGGAATCTTAAATTGTTTTTAATTGAGAATACATTGGACTAGTGATCAGCAAGGGTATAGCTGAACAGCAAGGATTTGTTTTAAATAAATTGCTATGCATTCTCTAGAGACTCATATATTTATTTTATTTTGTTGTTAATTTGGTTCATTAAACAGGCAAAATGACAGGTGCCATACTTCTTCCATCTGTAATTGAAATTATTTAATTGTAGCAATTTGTCAAAAGCAGCAGTTGTTATATAATTGAAGGTAGCTGTCAGAGAAGAAGCTGTTGGATGTAATTGATAATTATTGAAAATGGCCCTCTCAGGCTTTCTCTTACTAATTTATAAGTTTAAAAGCATTGCTTTCATAGACTGATTTTAATTTATTTGGGAGTGCATTTTTTTTTCAAAGACATGACATATTTTTCTAAGTGGCTTTTTAAAGGTACAGTTTATCCCAATTGTGGCATATGTCCAAGATTTGGAATATGATTTTTTATTTTTGGTTATATTTTCCCCAGGCGTTTTTTTCAACTTTTTCCAAGTCTGTTGGAAAAGAGAATATTGCACTCTTGATATTTGTAAATGGAGGCAGAACATAGAATAATAAGCTTTATTTGGGAGTGAAGCGGGGGGTGGGGTGGGGGAATGAAGAACATTTTTATAAATTAAAATGATCTGCCGTACAATTACCCAGTTTGAACACTAAGCTAAAAGGCAAGATGGCTTATGAAATCTGGTCATGAAATAAACGTGATGAGAGATGGCTTTCACTGCCCAAAGTGGCTACTTGGCAGTGAAAATTTTAAGAATTTGTGATGTGTCATTTTTTTAACAGCACTGAGCAAGGAGATTTATGAGTATTCCTCTTGATTGCAGGGTCCCCGCAGTCACATGATTTCTGTTGGCTTCTGATAAGCAAAGTCAATGGGAAGCTGGAAGAAGGGAAAATGGTGACCATGTGATAATGCAACTGTGCTGGATTGTCAGGCACTAATAATCAGGCACATTCATTGAGTTCAAAGCACTGAAACACTTATTATTATTACTTATACACAAGAATCTAGTTAACTAATGTTCAGAGTTAAATGGATGCTAGATAAGAATTCACAGGGTGAGGCTTGGGTCTGTTGTGGCAATGCAGTGAGTCTAGACTGATGATGCATTTAACTCTGCCTTCCAGCTCAACCTGCTCTTTTCTTATAGGGATTGACCTAACAACTGCAACTGGGACTGTTGCAACTGTTATACTGGATCACAGTCATGCAATGACAGTCATCTGTCACTGTAAGACAGAATAACAGAATAACAGAGTTGAAAGGGACCTTTGAGGTCTTCTAGTCCAACACCTTTCTCAAACAGGAAGCTTATTCCAACTCTCCTTAAAAACTTCCCATGTTGGAGCCCACAACTTCTGTAGGCAAGCCATTATTTTAACTGTCAGGAAATTTCTCCTTAGTTCTAGGTTGGTTCTCTCCTTGATTAATTTCCATCCACTGTTTCTTGTTCTGCCTTCAGGAGTTGACCCGCTCCTCTTTGTGGCACTCCCCTAGTCACACTTTACACTTGTCACGCTTCTGGTAGCCTCATAAGTCACACTTTCATGATCACATCGCCAAGTCTGGTCATTCTACAACAAACCTTGCAATCCTGTTTTAAGTAGTTCTCAACCACATGGGGTTTCCTGAACCCCCATAATTGGTGTTTAGAAGTGTTTGAAAATATGTATGTTAAGGTTCCAAGTAATACACCCATAGCAAACAGAACTCTGAGACAAGCAGTTTCCTCAAAGAATGAATTTATTGGATATATCATATTGGCACAGACGGGTGAAAACTGACTCTAAAAGTCCCTACGGTTTTCACCTAGTTAAAAGTAAAAGTCCCCCCCCCCCCTGTCCCAAACAGTCACATAGTCCAATCAAGGTGCTGTCCAGTTGCTTGGAAACTTCACTCCTCCTCCCTTCAGCCACCTGTGGGAATGTCCTTGGTTCTCAGGGAAAACTGACTTGTTTTGGCTACAAAACCCCAACTATCCCTATTCCCCCCTCCCTATCCCTCAGCACCATTGTGACAACACTGAAGCCTCCAAGATGGTTTCAGTCAGGCCAGCTTCAGAGTTGTCAGTGTAGCTATTTGGAATCATATTTATCATGGAAATAGAATTCTCTTGACAACTCTAAAATGGCCATATAAATGTTTTATGAGTTGACATCCTGACATCTTTCATTTTGTAGCTGGACAGGTGTGTGTGTGTGTGTGTCTTTCACTGTGTCTTTTATTGTCTCTTTAATATTAAATAATCAAATATTAAATATATTAAATAAATAATATTAAATGTTAATTGAAATTCATTTTAATTGTGAAATTAAAATGTGAAAGACTAAAGTATCTGTATTCCAAAGGTATGCAATGGAAATATCTCAAGATGACTATACAATTTTCTTCAATGTGTTGGGTCAGAGGGAACCAATATAATATAGCTCTGCTTACTTTTCAAGTTGTAGACATCAGTATAGCAGCATATAGAATAGTGGGATGGTAAGCTCATTTTTTTTATAAGATCCTGAATTCCCATCATTGAAAGTTGGTGGAACATCTTAGAATTACAGTGGTACAATTTCTCACCAATTGTGGTGAATCAAAGCAAGGAGACATAGTACATCTCCAGTAAATTTAGCACATTTCTCATAGTTGTTCCTACAACCTCGCTTAAAAGTGGACAAAATGTCTGGGATTCCCAACTTGTACCCTTCAGTGATGTTTATCATGCCACTCTTGGCTGCTGAAAGCAATAATATATTCAAGAAAAGGCATTGTGGCTACACAATATTATTTATTGTCTTGGTTTTGCCAGTCTTCCCTAATTTTGTTTATTTATTTCACTTATTTATAGTTTGAGACTAATAGATTAAAAGACAAACTCTTGTAACAAAGGCAGAAAGAAGCAAAATGAATACTAAATACTGTAAATAAAATTACAAATGAAAGCAAATATATGTGTCCCAGGATAATGTTGTAGGACCTAATCTGGGTTGGTCACTGGGACCAGAGGTTTAATCTTCCAAGCTTTTGGATTCATGCTGGAGCCTACTCTCAGGAAACTTGTCTCTACCGGAATGTGTGTACCACAGTCTGGTGGAGAGAAGTTCTGTGAGGATGAGCTCCAGTAAAAGTTCAAAAGCCTGGAAGACTAAACCTCTGAAAATAAAATTAAGCAGTGCATCATACGGATGTTTTAGCACCTGGTAACCAGAAATAATATTCCCTGATTAACTGAAAAAAAATGGAGTACACGCCCTTAACAGCAATTAGAAATTGTTTTGTTTGGGCCACAAGCCAGAATTCTGGGGAATTGGAAAGTAGCAGCACAGGAAAAGCTGGTCTGTGCAAACCTGTAAAATGCATATTTCTCACTGGATAGCGCTGAAGAGTTGTTGTAGCAATTCTTGGTTCAGATCCTCGAAAACATACGTGTTTTCATTTGACATCAGCCTTAGCATACATTAAGTATTTCCAAGTTACTTCATATTGCTTATATAACAGATAAATTAAATGAGAACAGTTAAATGGCTCTTTCTGTTGGGCTTTTAAAAGGTATGTGCTTGATGTTCTTGATTTTGCTGATCAGTGTTAGAACAACACACAAAATATCACACGCATTACATTTTTTTCTTTTTACCAGAGTATGAAGTTACATAGACGGTGCTGTAATATTTCATTCATCATCAGCTGTGTACTGTATATGCTCTTATGTGATAGATTGTTCTAAGGAATAGAGAGAAAAATTACCAAAAAGGAGACAGAATCTTTTGGCATGAACAGAGTTCTGAGATACCTGTGGTAAGATGTGCGGCCAATAATAATAAATAACAAACGAACAAATACAGCTTGTGATGAAGTATGGGAGCTGATTAATATTCAAGGAACAAAAAAAATCCTGAGTTATTTTCAAGTCATGTTTATGTTGCTGCAACAAATAGTGTTACTATTCCATGGTAGTTGCATCTGCATGTTGGTATGAAGAAGCAGAAGAGAAAGAATATAGATAGTCCTTGGATTACAGCTATTTGTTCAGAAACCATATTAAGTTATAATGGTGACGAATGAATAATAACCACAACTAATTGTCATTGCAATATCTTCACAGTCAAGTGATCAAACTTTGGCAACCTGTCCACATTTATTACTATTGTTACTAGGTCATGTTGTCCTGCCCTGTGCAAAACTGCCTTTGCATGAATTACCCCTACCCGTGAAC